CAAATTTTTATAAATAGGAAGAAATAGGCCTATACATATTTTATCTTTCAAGGCAGCTGAGGGCGGAATAAAAATAAAGAAAAACTGTTATTTTTTTCTGTAATTTCCACTTTTCAAATTAAATTTAAAAAGAAATTAAATATCTAAAAAAATAATAAATGAAAAATTATAGCATTAAAGTAATTTGTTTTTATTTACAAGTTAAAAGGGGCTTAAATAAATTGAAATGAAAAAGAAAATTAAATTGATAAACATTTAAAGTAGGAAATAATATACAGAAAATATAAAAATAATAGCTAAGAATTCAGATTCAGATTCAGATTTATTTATCGATCATATAAAATACATGAAATTTGTTTTCCTGAGTTGTAATACTGTACACAAAAAGTTCATTAAAATATATGTACACAAAAGCATTCAGCTGCATAAAAAGGTAAAGGCATTTACATACATCATTATATAGAAAGTATAAATATTAAAAGTATCTGATATTTAGTTTTTTTTAATAGAAGGCTACATGTTACAAAATACTTTATATTATAAATCAACACTTAATAAAATGTAATTTCAGTTCAGAAATAAATGTCCAAATTCTGGGTAATTCATTAATAATGACATTTTTAAATGAAATAGAAACTGGTATAAAACTTTCAAAACTTTATTTCTATACATAGCACCTTTGTATTGACACATGTGACACACTTTGGAGTGTTTTCTATGTAAGAGCAATTTGATGAAGTAATACTGAAACAAGAGATGATATCTGTCAACGGTCCTTGATGAATCATCTACAATATTCAAGAAAGCAAACAAGACTTGATGCGTTCGAAGTGTTCTGTCTTCATCTCTTAATATTTCTTGCCCTGGGGCATATGTATTTTTTTGTATATCCATTTGTAAAGATCTATGGAATTTTTTTTTTCTTTAAAAATATTTGGCAGTTTGCCAACGTGGTATAGGTATTCTTTGCTGTATCTGTAAGCTAGAAAGAATGGCGCGCATGCCAAGCCCTTCCGTACTTGTATTCTTGAAAGGCATGATCTTTGTTTTACCATAGAGCTGTAATAATTTTATACCTCCATGGTTTTACTCATCTTAGGTGAGTTTAAAACATGTATGAAATAATAGGAAATACCTTACTCATTTTTCATATCTGAAACTGAAATTTATTACAGATGTACTAGTTAAAAAAATAAATTATTATAAAAAATTTTATATGAAATTATCAAAGAATGAGTGACAATAACTACTGTTAAATAAGTGCTTTACAATTTCCATATAATAGTAATAATAATAGAGTAGTAGTAATAATAATAATGATGAATATTTATTTATGTATACTATATTGTAGGCCTATTTGTAATATTTTAAGGATTATTTTTATTTTGATAAGGTTTAATGATAGCAATAGAGTACAGTATTACGTCACGATACCATGTGATACTATCACGACACAAAATGAGTTCAACTGGATGCCATTTTCTCCACTGACAAACCATTAATCCCAGTTTCTAACGTAATTATTAAGAAGTATCTTAGTTTTTCTTTGTAAATTTTAATTGATAATTAAATGTGTGTTCGATAACTAATATAATGCAAGCTTTTGTGTTTTTAGTACATTTTGATGGTAAATTATTAGGTTTTAAAAAGCCTATTCTAAAACATTAAGATTATGAAGTCATTCAGGCATAATGAACGATAACCAACGTCTGGTTGACAACAAAGGGCGCCACCAAGTGTTGATGACAAGACTTGTACTCTATAGGCCTACTTTACTCTCTTAAGGTTTCTTGCTTAAAATTGCTTCTGTTGTTAGATCTGAAACCTAAATTTGGACGATGATCGTCTTTACAAATTTGATTTCTCAAATAATATATTTTTCCAAGTATCTGAGGTGCAATATATGCCTATATAAGGAAGTGGACAAATACCCATAAACACCTGTTATGCATAGCATGGGTCATCCTGCTCAAATTGCTCTCATAATATACTCATCTTCGTCACCTACTAATCCTACCTCCATTTCTTCATACTTACTGGAGTTGAGTGACAGGTCTTAGCACACATGTTCAGAAATAGTAATCTGATAAAATATGGGGAAAACATTCATTTTAAAAAGTTGAATTATTTATTTAGAGAAAAAACTTCAAAATTTGATATGCAGAAAATAGTGTTATCTGTCAGTTGCAGAGGAAAATATTTATCTTGCTTTAATTATTTTTTAAATTGAATATAAAGTTCATAAATATTTTGGGGCCCCTTAAGGTCTGGTGTCCTGGCTTTTGCCAGTGAGATATCATAGGAGGTACTGTACCGTATGTCGCTGTCTGGTACAGATACTGTATGTATATCTTTTGATTTGATTTATTGTCTGTAGGCACTAATATTGATTGCCTTATGTCAAATATGTAAAATTAGGCTAAAATTTAGGTTTACTGACAACCAACATCAATAGCATTAATGCCAACTCACATTCTAAATGATCAAATGGACATGTACAACTATTGCTGTACCATATTAATGTGGGCTCACACGCTAAACGATGTCAACATGGGTATGTAGAACTAATGAGGGACACACGCAAGATCATTAACACCAGTTCACATGCTATATGATCACATGGACATGTGCAACTACTGCAGTACCATTTTAATGAGGACTTGCACAAGATAGTTAAAGTCAGCTCACAATATATATAGCCCCTTTCAGAGAGACGTTGCTGCAAAATTGCGGTAAGCATGCCGGCATAATAATTGGTCTATACCTTTCACACAGCGCCTTTGTAACCGTAATATTGCGGTAATCTTATGTTTTTCAGTCTGAAATGGTCCTATAGAATAGCGTAATATTGGTGGTTTATATACCACAGCGCAATTGTTTTCAAATTTAAACTTGTTTGTTTGTGCATAAATACACACGCCGGCTTGATTGCCACAATATCGAGTAGACTCTTTCAGACAGAGCAGGTCAGTAACTGTTACCACAATATTGCGTCAATACTACAGGGTGCAAAGTGGCCTAAAGTAAGCAGGCATATAGGCATATCAACCCTTTCAGACAGAAACCCATGCCGGCGTTCTTACCACAATATTGCGGTATTGCAGCTCTGACTAAAGGGGGCTTATGAAAGCATGAACAAATACTGTACATGAGTACCACTTTAATAGGGACTCACAAGGTCATTAATGCCAGCTCACATGCTAAATTACCACATGGACATGTACAACGACTAGAGTACCACTTATAACATGGACTCACAAAGAATCATGTGGACACGTACACTGTAGATTGGAAATTTAATGTACCTCACACTAAATTGTCATGTGAATAGAGTTCTTTTGCCAATACTGTATGGGTTCACACTGAATTATCAAGTAAACGGTGCATAACTTCCAATTTAATGACTCGTAGTCAATTAACATGTGAACGTCATGGGAGCTACCTCCACTTCTAACTGCTGAATAGCTGTCAATAACTCACACCTTGTTTATTATTCATCACACATCTTCCTCACCTGTAGGTAGCATTTTATTGTCTGGCACATTCCCACATAATCATTACCTGAGATCCCACAAGAGCAATCCATCAGTCCTATCACATGTCCCAAAGGCATTAAGCTGATTGGTTGGGTGGCATGACACTCAGAAAAGAAATTAAGAACTTATCTCTGGGAAATTAAACGAAAAAAAAATGAAGAATGAGTGGTGATTACTAGGACACTTATGAAACAAGATCCATACTGCAGTTTTAATTGCAGTAAGAATATTATCATTGTATGTACTACAATAAAGGGTAGGAAAATGAGTAAGAAATATAATGATTTTAAGCAAAAGATTGAGAAAGAAATAGTAAAAAAGAGTAATTGATGTTACGGAGGAAGAGGTATGGAAAGCAGAACCAAAGGAATGAAACACAGGAAATATATGAAAATGAAAATACAAAATGAATGGAAATTAAAAGAATATATCTTCATATTGAGTCTCTTCACAAGTTCTTACTCTAGGGAGCGATGTCGATTTAGTTCTAAAAAGTAGACAATATGATTTTCGTGTATAATGGTGAGAGGATTGGTAGGAACAGGGCCGCGGCGTGAACGCTCCTTTCTTGACCCCAAGAATATATGGCGATATGGACAGGTAGAGAAAAACACAGACTAAGGTGGAAAAAGAAAGGATAAGATAAAAATAGAAGTATTAAAAATATCTGAGAAAAAAAATTATAAAGATGAAAATACTATTTAATGTATCGCAAGGTACAATATCCTATAGGGAAAGTGAATTTACAATTTAGATTTGATCACTTGAAAGATATCAAGAATGATCTCAATTTAAAATGGATCAGGGATTAAAAATCATAATTAATTTTTCAGCTTTAATTAATAAAATCGAAGTTGATATCTAACAACTTCCCTTTTATCTGTCAATTTTTTTCTCAGTAAATGCATGAGACACAGTGTCAAAACGCATCAGATTACGGTATTTGGCATTCCACGGGTAATTAATTAAATTGAGAAAGCAGCCCGTGATGATTAAAAATATAAGTTATATCATTTTAATATTTGAAATGTTTTGCTTGTGTCAGGAGGTCTCACTCTAGGGCTTTGCAGTACACTATTTGTAAAGTGAGTGATAATGTGTTCCATCCTGTGTAATATTAGCACTAGTCATTTTTTTATCTTTTGTTACTTTTTAGTTAATAATATCAACAGTTCTTTTAGTATGATGATGGTGAAGGTAATGCCAATGACAATAGCAGAGATGACAAGGACTTCAACGACGATATAATATTGTTATAGAAAATGCTTATGAAATTTTAGAATTTAATACCGTAAATGTGTAACAATAATTTGAAAAATTGTAATAACTATAAATTCCAATTAATCTATTTAGAAATTTATAGTCTATTTTAGATATCTGGGTCAAGTATTTTCTATAGTGTGAAGGCAAACACAAAACTGTCATTTCTAAAGCAGTATAAAGGTCGATTCATTATAGTGTCTTCCTTGGGTAGTCTGCTTAGCTGCTGAATTGCATAAACTAGTCATTGTCAAGGCCAGTTGTATCTTCCTTGAGTAGACTAGAATCCTAGTTGAGGTTAATGGATGTATGTTATTTCAAGGTCAGTTCTTTATAGTATCTTCCTTGAGTAGATCCCAAGCCTAGTTAAGGTTAATAACATGTATGTCATTGTCAAGGTCATTCAACAAACTGCCATCAATAGTTGGATATAAATAGTTACAACCTCATTAACTAAATGCAGTATGATTAATTATAAACTATGTCATCCTCTCCTTTAAACTTCAGATCAGATAATTTCAATGAGATGAATAAATGAATAAATTCTTGCTTACATCAGTGCTTAGCAGATTAAAGAAAGTGGATGGATTTTTATGGAAAATTAGAAGAGACAGGTCCTGGATTATTATTATTAGACTGCTTTTGAGTCTATATTAGATTAAGCAAGTTAAATATAGCTACGTTATTAAATAACATTTGTTATTTATTTTAAATATGTGATCGTATTATAATAAATATCAGCAGAATTTTTGACTGTTTATTTAATAAAAGTATACCATTCTTTCAAAAAGTTTTTACAATTTTAATGTAAAATTTCAGTTTTAAATGAACTACTTAGTCTATAAATAATGTTAAACACTATAATGCCATTACTGTAAAAGCAGTAAACTAATGCTCAGATGTTTACTAATTATCCTATTATCGAGTTTAAGCACTTAAAACAATCCACTTAAAAATATGATGTTTCCACCCCAGGACTTTCTTACTCCAATTGTCACTATTTGTGAGAAAAGGGACGAAATTCAAAAGGTAGCAAAAGCATATTCCAACCCCGAATAATACTATATTATGCAGTAAACGTATTCCAAATTTATGAATATGGATTTACGTTACGGAAGAGTGATTTGACCATTAATCACAGGGATAAAGTCCGGCACACATTTCTTAAGCAATTCCATTTTTATTTTCCATGGAGAGAATCTCAAAGCCTACATTGTTTTTGTTAGAGAATATAATAATTAATGCTTCTATTCATATTGATGCCATAATTCATTTATAATTGAAAGTTGTAACCAGCTTACTGCATTTAACGACCCTTGAAATAAAAGGAGCGCTGAAACATTTTATTAATACTGAAATAAAACTTGCGCTAATATGAAATAAATCCGGAATTCATTGGGAGGGAAACGATACTGTACATCCGACTGTTATGTGATGGATTCACTCAAAAGTACTCCCCGATACGAAATAATTTATGATTTGTGACGTTCTGAGTTGTGTCCTAATCCTGCGTAACATTAAATGCCTTGGCGAGGATTGACAAACCGTTGGCATGCATCAATGTTGCATTTCTATTTGCAGAGAAACGATCAAAGTTACAGCTGTTTCAAAGGTTAGAGGTTACAATGTAGATATTTCAATAGACAATATCTACATTCTGTTCATTATTGAGAAAAAAATTTTTTTTTATTTTTTTATTGTTAGTTGTTAATTTTATTGCAATCAAAATGATAAAATGTTAAAAATTGTTAGGAAAAAAAAAATTGTATAAGGCCTATCAGTACCTCAATTTTAAAATTAGTTTTAAAAGAAGTATATTTATAAATGTAATACCCGATATAATATAGAATATATTTCTATAAATGCGTGTACACAGCTGCCTTTTACAGGTACCGCATTTATTCGAAGAAACACCGTGGGGCAAAATGGATACGTATGTACTCAAATAAAAACCCCCTTAAGATTTCACTCTAAACACGGTGGAGCTTCAACACATAATTACCGTCAAAATGTGTTATTGCGTGATCATAAAGACTTATTAATCCTAACCGGGTTAGAAAAAGTGTAATTCTGCTGGAGTAGAACATTAATAGAATGTGTTGAGAATTATGTAGCTTTTATTAGATTTGTTTCCAGTTATTTAGAGGGCGTTCATTGCAGGAAAAAATAAATGCCTCTGGGCATTTATTTGAGGGAGGTGTTTATTCCAAATGAGGCTCTATAGGGGCATTTATTTCGAGAGGGCATTTATTCAAAGCAGGGCATTTATTAAAATAAGTACGCTACTTTAAATTTGATACAATATATGGCAACTTCCAACAAATCAAAGGTTCAAGCTCGATTCCTGGTAAAGTTTTCTTATTAGTCAGATTACTCTTGTGTTATGATTCATGGCTTGTTATTTCAGAAGAAGTTAAGCAAGGTAAAGTGAAACATTTTGAAACATTAAAATCAATAATTAACAACATGATATCACATAAAAATACAGTCTAGTGTGTGTAATCCCACATCAAACTAAGTGCTGGTTTGGAACCAAGTATAAAGTGAAATTTGTTAATTTAGCATCATATTAGTAACTAGGTCAATTTCCTGTTCTTGGGGTAGGCCTATACCTGAGGGACAACGATACTTACTGATACTGAAACATGTTAATTTTATTTTAGTTTCTATTGTTGTGCTGGCCTTGGAATTTGATTTTGGTCAAAAAGCTTTTTTTTTTCATATAAGAAAGTAAAGATTTATATATAATTGTGTCATCGTAATGTAATGTCGCTCATGCCAAGGTTTTCACATTTTCACTCGGATTATCAGATTAAATGACTAAAGAGAACATACTAGACTCCCTGGGGGAGAATTCCATAATGTTTGTAGAATTCCATAATGTTGCTGGAGTAATATTGGCACTCATCAAGCCATCTTTGAGAGAGATTTTTAAAAATTATTTAATACCTTATTTCAAGAGGGTGAAAGAAAACAAACATGGACACAGCAGTACATAGGCCTATGCCTACATAGGCCTATCTATAAAATTATAAAAAGTTTAACTTTTTCATAAATAGTAAATATGCCTACACTATCAGTGCCCACCCCCCACCAAAGCTTATGTTTTGTGCTCTTGATGAAAATAACGAATGGTTCCATATCGTGTATAGAATGGATGAATTTTTTAATTGTTTTGTCAACTGTACACCAATCATTACCATCTTCATACTTTCCTTTACAGACACTACTTGATAAGAAATTGCTATGGAAAAGCACTGGAACATCTTAAGAAATTGGGAGGCGCAATCTCTGGTGAAGCAGAACATATTCGCAAGTTAGATATGGTGCAGAAGCCCTCAGCCTTACACAAGCTGTTATTGGACATTATGAATCTGAGTTTCTCACAAAACACTTAATGATCCATGTGAATGTACAATATTTTGCATATATATTTGTAAAAATTGTACACAGGAAACTCTCTTCAGTACAAACATTGAATTAAAACATTGAGTTGCTGATTTAAAAGGATTACATAAGTCTGCCTCATTAATAAATTATTAATGAGGCAGATCAAAGCAATGTAGTTTTCACTGAATACACTTTGTACAAATGACATTCCTTAAATTGATTACTGTTAATGTAGTTTAGCTAAACATAGACATTATATCCTGAAAAGGCATGACCATGGTTTATATATACTTTATCACTTCTACTTTCTCCCTATATTGGCAAAAAGACAAATTGGTGTATTGGCAACAGATTGGCATTTAACCAATAAAGCGTTAGTCTGAAGTTCTACTTTACTCCATTTTCTTTGTTATAGGTTTATAGACAAATACAGCTTTTACATGATTAATAGTCTACTTGTGAAAACACTGGTTGAAATGTAACTTTGACTGCCTGTTAAAGCAAAAAGGTCTGATTTATACAGCTGTACTGTATGTCTAAGGAAACCTGTCAATAAAAAATCTCCCTTAAACACTATAAAAAATTACTGATTTTATACAATGTAATCGGTGCAAAGTAGCAAATATTAATTTGTAGCTGTCGTAGCGCCTCACTCAACAGTACCTGGTTGGGCTGTCAGATTGATAATTGGACTGGTGTTGCTGTGTCTGATTTTGACAGTGCCCAGCCGTTGGCTTGTTTGTGTGTGTGTGGGTATACTGGACGCACTTTGCGATTCTTGCTGACGTTCATGTAGCTGTATAAGCCCAAGAAAATGAAAGTAGCAAGTTTTCGTTGACATGATGTAAACAGTGGTAATAACTGGGTCGGTTGAGTTATGGGTCATTGGGGAACTATAGACATCATGTTTGCCCAAAATTTACTCAATGAAAATAAGAATCTTGTCTATTTTTTCAGACAAAAGTATACCTGGCCACCATAACAGATTAATATGTTTTGAATTTTTGAAAAGTAGAAATATTGTGAAGTTTACTGTATAGTCGAGAATTTTTTTATACATTGTTTAGCGAACCCTCCGGCTGCCAATAATGATGATTTCGAATAAAAATAAAATTTCATTTTTGGCCAATTAGTGCACACACTGCCACGAAAAAAATTTCAGATTTAAAGTTTTTCTTTATTTTTACTATGCCTGCTGCTGCCTTGATATCCCAAAAATAAGATATGCATATTTCTGCGTATCCAAACGGTGCGTGGGTTGGCCCATGCCACTCGAAAAAAAAATTACTCGCACGCCCCTCCAAAAAAAATCATGGTCAAGTAGATAAAAATCACCTAAAATCATCTTGTTTTGCGAATTAGCGCCACTCAACTGATCATCAAGCAACTTTTCAAGACTTCTAGATACTGTAGACCTACACCACTGTTTCCAAGCAAAGGGAAAATTAAAGATAGGAGAGGTTAAGTTTGTTAATGGCACATCTGAATGCCTTAGGCTTAAAAAAGAACTAGGTGGTTTGTTCCATAATGAAGAGGTGCAAGGTATGAATGAGAATGACTGGGAAACAGTACGGTAAGTGTAAGTTTGAACTGAAAAAATATGAGAGGTGAGGGCAGACCAGGCCTGCCTGGCAGGAGTATGATATAGGGGGGAAATGGCCTTCAGTTCATTTGAACATTGGCCAGAAATGTACCGATACCGTAGTACAGGGAAAGATCTGCAATACAGCGTCGATGAGCAAGAGAATGCAGAGATTGTGTGACTTCGGGATCGTTGATTAATCTTATTGCTTTTAAATAGAGGTTATGCACAGTAATGGATGATGATGATATTATAACTATAATTTTTGCTGCTGCTTCTGCTGTTTATTATTTTTATAGTATATTTTATAATAATTATTATTATCATCAACATTACCATCTTTTTTTTTTATTGTTATTAAAAAGGTATTCAGTGATTAATATTTGGTTCCATTCAGTTTACTTTGAAGTACATACAGACTTTAAGTTTATCAAAACTTAATTTTCAAACAAAAGAGTAACAAAGACTACACTGTTAACAATTTCCTGTAAAATTTACAGTAAATTACTGGCAGCTCAGACGCCAGTAATTTACTGTAAAATTCACAGTAGTGATCAGTGTTACTGTAAACAAATAAAGCAGTAATTTACTGTAAATTTTACAGTATAAATAAATTACTGTAAATGTAGCCACAGTAACTTACTGTAAAAATTACAGTACAAATTGACAATACTGTAAATGCTTCCTGTAAAATATACAGTAGTAAAGCATTCTACTGTAATTGTAAGTACAGTAGAGGAAATACTACTGTAAAAAAATACATTAGAATCTGCGAAACATATTACAATATCCATTTGCTGTAAAGATAGTGCCTGCATTTCCAAGAGGTTATTATTTTAGAATATCAAATATGTTGCATAAAAAAGGCGTGACAGTACTAGATGATATTCAAGCTGTTGTTACAATGGGTTTTTTTTGGGGGGATTTTATGTATTATTTTTAGGTCAGAGCAGATTTGATTTTAATATTAGACACATTGGCTAAGGACGATTATGACTAAAATTGATTATAATTACCACTATCCTAAGTAGGCCTATTAGACTGTGACATGAATATTGTATCATTAATAGAAAGAAAATTTAGGGGTCTGTAAAAAAAAACTACAGTAACACTAAGACATAATGATTTCCGGCTAAAAATGTTTATAAATCTATTAAATACACCACCTTGTGTATTGATACTTGTATCTATTTTATATTATGGTTGTGTTTTTTTTTTTTATTACCAGTATATTGTTTACTTATTGCCTTATTTTTTATTTATTTACTTTATTGTTTTTTTTGTAGTTTTTGGTGTTTTTATTGCTTATTGTTTCATATTTTATTTCTTTTATTTATTATTTATTTGTCTTAATATACTGCTGTGTATAAAATATTTTTTGAAAAATTGAAAGAATTTGTTGATTTTCAAACTTGTGCATTTGTATGAAAGAAATATGTGGTATTAAAACACCTAATAAGGAATTTTGAGGTTGCATATAATGTCTGTACATATAAATATACCAATTTGTTCATTCATAAATTTATTTCAACACGATTATATTTCAACACGATCTGTACATCTTCAGAAGGTAGTTTACAATTCTAGATTTAATATTATAGGCTAATAGGCCTACCGGATTACAAAAGTATAATGGTTCATGTCATGATTTGAATTCTGTTTTGAGTCCACTAAACGCTGCAGTGAATACCCAGCAATAAAACATGAATCTTCCACGCGTCTAAAGATGTCAAACGCATATTCATGTTCAGTGCACCCTCCAATTCGAGACTATAGAGAAAAGCAAATAACAATCATCAATCTTGTAACATTAAGCTAACCTATTTGGAGACCGAACCCCGAGAATACCCCACTTTCAGGTCCAAGGGTGATTTCGAATGGGACGCAAAGTTGACATTCCCACTCTCAATACGAAGCGCACGTGTGAGGCAGAGCAGCATGCAATGGAAAAGTGTACATATGCAGTGGCGTAACGCCTATGCACTCTCATGTGGCGGTCCGCAGGGCCCCCGAATTCTAGGGGCCCCGAAGTGGCCCTACCTGTAGGTTCCTCGATCTAGCACCCTGACCAAAAAAGACTTTGTTGATAAATAACACCATAATGTGTTTCTGAAATCGACTGTGGTGCATATATCATATTATAACGATTAAAGAGAGTGGGGGGGGGGGACCAAATTTGTCAAAAAAAAATTAATAATGGAGATAAAAAGAAAATTGTATACCCAATTTTAAGTCTGTGAGTGCCATTTCCGGCCATCTAGACGTGCCATAATAATATATTTTCTTTTCTCAGCCCCACAAGGGCAACAGCATAATGTGTGTCTGAAATCGACTGTAGGACATATTATATCCCGGTGGTGGAATAAAAAGTGAGGTTGGGGGGTGGGGAGAGATGCTGGCCCGGGGCCCCACTAAATTTTTCAAAATATGTTTTAACTGGAGATAAAAGAAAAAATATATTCACAATTTTATGTCTGTGAAGTGCCATTTCCGGCAATCTAAAGGTGCCATATTCGTAAATTTTCTTACCTCAGCCCCAACCATGGTGGGTCTGAGGTAGTATAGACTCAACTGTGAAAGTCCCTCCCTGGCCTCAATTTTCTGGATCCATATTATATCATTTATTCGTCGTTAAATACATTTAGAATAACAATGCACATCTAAAATCCCACGATGGAATTGGTGACTGGGGCCTAAAAAGGGCCCCCAGTTTCAGAAATACACAGGGCCCCCTACCCCATCGTTACTCCCCTGTACATACGTATTGGCAGAGTTACGTGCCATGGCACGCATATCCACGTGTTAATAACACGCACATTTGGCCTTTACAATCCTAGCACAAATGGTTCCCCCTCACAATACGTATATTTACTTAGGCCTATGCAATACTAGGGATAAATTCCCATCGTGACCCGTCAAAGTAGTACTGGAACAGTACGCCGAAATCAGAGGAAGTTCAACAACTAAAAATATTCTTATATTATAATATTAATTCAATGACAAGATCCATAAATCCATTGTATGTTGATATCTAGCCAGGCTAACTAGGCCTCCATCAACCCTAGGGATAATAGCCCATTAAAACCATATGAATAAAGAGGAAGGCCAGGTTATTGGAGGTCGGCCATGTCACTACTTCACTTTTCATACCGTTTTTATGACTGGTGATTTTTTTCTGGTCCACAAAACTCAACATACTTCTTAATATTATTATTATTATTATACGTTATTGAACTAATAAATGAGTCGTCTGCGTTTACAAATGGTGATGGTGATATATTGAAACCAAAACCAATCATTTAAAGAGATAGGCGGCCTTGTAAACAATAGTGTGGTCAAATCTGAGGTGAATTCTAGCAAGCTTTAATTTATAGACAATTTTAAGATACTGTCGGTGATAAGATTTGGAAAAACCCTCAAACATCCGTTAAATCATTTAATTGCTCACTTTTAAACATGAAACAAATGATCTGTCCATGGAGGAATACCTACATGGTCTGTCTGCCATAAATATACCATTGACTAAATAATTTCGTGACAATGTTCAAATAAAGAACGAAACGTAGAATTAATTAGGCCTCACGTCTGTCATTTTTTCGGAGTTACCGTACTCATACTGTATATACTAAATAATAAAAGCTACTTTTAAAGTACTGTACCGTAATCGGTAAACACCCACCAGAAGCAAACACACAGCACATAATTAAAACACTTGAATTCAAGTGATAGTTATTAATAAATAAGTCATCGATGCCTCGGGTCGTACCAGCAGTCTGTTATTCGAAACTGCTATTCAGGTCCA